ATAACAATTAAGTAGATTATTAAAAAATTGCCTAAATGCCAGGGATTTAGCTCAGTGGTTTCACTGCCTACCTTGAAAGCACAAGGTCCCAAGTTCAATCCCCGGTATATCACCCCCCCAAAAATAAAAGAAAAAAAAGAAAAAGCTTCATTTCTGTGTTCCCATTTACTGCTCAAATTTGTAATGGACAAAAAATAAAGGAAATACAAAAGCCCAAGCTTCACTTAACAGAATTCCGATATAAGGTCTTTAACGTTTTAATTATTTTGGGAGGGGTTCTAGGGATTGAATGCAGGGTCTCACACATGCTAAACACACACCACTGAACTACACTCCCAGCCCCGACCTTTAATTATTTTGTACCATGACTAACAGCTTCATGGACAAGGTAGAAAATGACCAAGCTCACACTTATTCCAATTTGACAACAGCAGAAAAAAATCATGACCTCTCTAGACCAAAGACCAGAGTACTCCATACAAGCTGCATTGCTTGGGCTCAACTTCAGTATTCACACCTGTAAATGCTTTAGCAGAACAAGCCTTTCCAAAGTCCAGGCTGAATTTCCAACAAAGGAAAATACAAAGGAGCAAGTAGATTGGGTAGTGATTTTATTAAACTGAAAACAGACCAACAGTGCAGGCTGTCGCTGAGCTAGCAGGTTTCTTTAGGACTGTATTTGCCCTCTGGGCCTCAGTTTTCTGTCCGGTGGCATCTGAATTTACTTAAAGTGATGCATTAAACAATAAGAGAAGGATTAAGTGCTTAAAAAATTCTTTGCTTACACAAGTTAAACTGACTGCTGCTAAACCTGGGATTGACTTGAAAGTAAACTACATCACTGACCTTCCTTTCTTCCTCACACTGGGCTCCATGTTTACTCACTGCTGGGTTGCAGGTGCAACCTCACGCTGCCAGCTCTCTGGTTAGGCCAGAAGAACAAGAGGCCCAGCGGCAAGCTCTCTTCGTCCACACAGGATTTCATGGTCTTGAACTAATGTAGCACAACATTTAAATTCAAAATGCCCAAAACGTGGTTCGGGATGTAGCTTGCCTAGCATGCGCAAAGCCTTAGGGTCAATTCCCAGCACCCACCCCTTTAAAAAAAAGAGAAAAGAAAATAAAATGCTCAAGATAACCTTTTATTCACAAAAATCTTTATTTCTTCCACCAGTCCTTAGAGTAAACACCGTATCTCATCACCTGTCATGATGCAATTGAGCAACTGTGGACTGTTACTTTCAAAGCTGGTTTGGTAATCTCCAATTTTTTTTTTAAACTTCAAATTTCATGTCACTGCTTCTCAATTTTTTTCAATCTAGCAACTCTCTGGTATTCAGAG